ATAAAACACAATATATCAGTATTAAAAGTGATATCAATAATTTTATATAGTATCTGTATATATGATATATGTATGTTACTATATTAATATATGATAATGTATATAATGTATAATAGGCTTATTGTAAGAATTTTTATATTTATATACATATATATTAGGCTATAAATAGGCCTCCGCCTATATATATATATATATATATAGGCGGAGGCCTATTTATAGCCTAATATATATGTATATAAATATAAAAATTCTTACAATAAGCCTATTATACATTATATACATTATCATATATTAATATAGTAACATACATATATCATATATACAGATACTATATAAAATTATTGATATCACTTTTAATACTGATATATTGTGTTTTATATATATTCCATATGCTTCAATTGTCTCTCTCACCTGCCTACGATCATTAACTCTAACTCGTATTTCTTTTTCTGGCTGATTGGTAGTTGGTTCATTTCAGATTCACTCGGAAACTTTCGAAGGTTTCTCCAAATATCCATCGTAAAGATGGTGCTGCCGCTATTGAAGATTGAGGTCAATGAACTCATTAGTGCAGATAGCATCACAGCTAACATCAGTCCTCTTAAACCTGTAGGCGGTAAATAAGCATAAGCAAAACGCTTCCACAAGCGTGTATCCATAAAATCGCTACACGATATCGTCAACTCCTTTCGGGACGCTGATGGTCTGTAGAATCGGGGAGCCTTCCCGATCGTGTCGGGGAACAGCTGTTCAGATCAACGATTGCGGTGAAAACACTGTAGCGATTTTATGGAAACCTGGTTTATGGTCAAAGTTCATGAAGTGCAATGTTTGAAATAAGAATGTATTTTCACTTTTTCTTATCACTTTTTTTCGTGTCCTTTATATTTTACATATTAGTCAATTTAGGTATTTTATTGTTCACTGTTTTATGTTTTTTACGTGGTAAAAATGTTAATAATTTGTTTAAGGACCCAATGGAAATAAGTTTTATATATTGCAAACCTTTTTTGGGTTACCCAGGAATTAATGGCATGTTTTGTTCTTAATCATTTATCTGTTCTTTGTATCTGTTTTGTTTTCAAGTAAAATGTAATTTTAATTCCTGAATTCCTGAGGTGTTCTTAAAGTAAAATGGTAATAGTTAGTGACCTTCACAGAAACGAAGAGAAAGCGGCCTATGCTCACATCAAAATTAGAGTTACAATGCGGCCTATGTGCACGTTAAAGAACGCAGTAGGCCTACACTATTCGGAAAATTGTCTCTTGGTGTACCGGTACAGCCCAATCACCACTAGAAGGACAGCATTAGAAATATGCCTTTCCGACTTTCATGAGTTATTTTTAGTTTTCTCGCCGAATGAATCTAATCCAATTTTCGTGCACAATATTACCAATATCATAATTTTTTATAATATTAATGATATTTAGGCCTATAATATTTCTAATATTACTTCCAATATTTCTTCTTACCTTTTGGCATGACTTCCATCACTAGAAGTGGGTAAGCTAAATTTGAACAACCTGAAGTGCTTCCGCATTCTTTCTCGCATATTTCGTCAGATGTACATGCCACAATATCTGGATTGTAATTAAGTAGCATAAATTATGTCATGACTCAAATTATACAATACAGTAGTATAATGTAATGATTGCATATATATATTATATATATAGGCC